GGAATTTCAATGGGTGGAGGCGCATCTTTGATGGTCCCAATGAAGTTCTCAGTAGTCACTGAAAAAACTGTGAGTAACATCTCTATCTTTGGTGTTCATCGGCTTGATATCTATTTCTGCACAGTGACATCAAAACTTTTTGTGGTATATTTCATGATAGGTTTTTTCCACTCCAGAAGCTAGTATTGGATTTCATACAGATTGCGGTTTCTCATATATGCATTCCCATCTTCCTGGGTTTCTCGGTAAGCATGCTGAAAAAAGGAAAACAAAGTTTCCAGCATTTTTTCGGAAACTGATTGATATCATGTGGGGAATGCAGGGGAGTTTTTGGGCTTAACAGGAGCAAGACTGAATGGTAAGGAACTGGTTGCGGTTGGACTGGCAACCCATTTTGTCCCTCTTGAGGTAATTTTCTGACTCTTCACTATAGTTTTTCCCCTTCTCACTCTTCACTATAGTTTTTTCCCCACCGAAAACCAAGTCTTGGAAAGTTGGAAGGATTGCCTCAGAAGATTTGAAAATCTAAATGACTGCATTTTACCTTACTACATTTTCTATGGTTGTTTTGAGTCATCGGTAACGATATCAGCTAAGTTGATTTCAGTCTTCTTTGTAGTTATTATATCAAACTCAAATTTTATATTGAATGGGTTTTGTACAATGTACATCAGAAATTATCCGATCTAGAGAAGCGTTTGATAAGTTTGAACTCCGGAAATGAGAACGCGGTCAAAGCTGCAATTGAAGAATTTTCTGTGGAAGTCAAGCCTGATGAAGAAAGTGTTTTAAACAAGTAAAAAAATCTTACTTGCTGATTCTTAATTTCTAGTTCTACTTCAATCCTTTGAATCAACATACTAAGCTCCTTATATCGATATCATTATGCTTTCCTCCCCTTACAGGCAGTCAATAATTGACGAGTGCTTCTCCAAAGATACAGTGGCTGAGATTATACAATCATTTGTAAGTTGCTTTTTTTCATTTCTTAATTAACAGATAAACGAACAATTATAGATTCATGCATTTTCTCAAGCATAAATTCAACAAATGTGTTTGTTTCCCAGGAAGTAGAGGCAAAGAAAGAAGGAAATGGATGGATAGGTCCACATCTCAAGGGCTTAAAAAGATCATCCCCTACGGGATTGAGAATAACACTGAGATCGGTACGATTTCTTGCAGTTTGATCAGATGCATATTGCGTTTTGAGTCCTCGTGGCCATGGTATTGTTTGGTTAGGGGGGAATTTTCGTGTGTTTTTGGTTAATGCAAGCCTGAAAGGATTTATGTTTTAAGACTCACCTAAAGATGCATCATCTGTTGTGGTCTGTGTCTCTCTTGATTTGAACATCCACGGGAATCCAACCCATGCGTAATTCGTTTTGCTTTCGATAGATGCATTGCGTGCTTAAGTTGCCTCTGCCATTTTATTCTCCAGATTCGAGAAGGCAGGAAGCAAACGTTGCCTGAATCTCTGAAGAAGGAATTTAGACTCACAATAAATATACTGCGGTCCAAAATTTCTGAGGATGTTTATGAGGTAATTGTTGTATAACGATAACTAACTAGACCATATTACTATGGACATTCCTACGCTGAATATACCATCTCGCTCCCTGCTTCCGGAGTGTACTAATCTTGTATTTTGATATGAAGGGTATTAGAGCTCTCACTATTGACAAGGATAATGCTCCCAAGGTAATCCCTCTCTTTCCATTAATCGTTTACCGGTTCTATGTGTTACTACCAGAGATCAAATTATCTAAAGATTACAGTCACATCTAAAGACGAGAAAATGTGTATTGTTGTTGGTTGTAGTGGAACCCGCCGTCTCTTGACAATGTGGTGGATAAGAAACTAGACCTGGTCTTCCAGCCGTTCGAAGAAGATTTGGAGCTCCAGATTAAGGAACAGGAAGAAAACAGGTAAATGCGGCTTCGTATCTCTTGTATCTGAACAACGCTGTGGCTAATCGGTAGTTCAACGGAAGAAAAGAAAGAATGACGAGTATGCTTTTATTTACTGAATTGCAGGTGGGATGGCAAGTATGAGAATTCAGCTTATGCATCCCTGAAGGTGACCGGGTAAACAAGATGCATATCTGGTCACGGTTGAGCTTGTTCCTTAAAAGTATTATCTTATGTCATTAGCGCAAGTATCGACGTTTTGTGTTGCATTTCTTCCAGCCTATTTGCATGAGTTGTTCGCCTTGATGAAAACCGTTGTAATGTAATTCAGATTCGGAGTATCGATTATCCATCCGAGACTCTGAGAACATAATGTAATAAACTAGAGTGTTTCCCTTGTTCTGGCAGGATAGATATCAAATGTGGTCACAGACGAGCGGAAAAAAGAGCGGGAAATTGGAAAAACACGACTAAAATTCATGAAATCCTTTTTGTAGTACCAAAACTAAACTATGATCATATGACATAAACTGATGGCCCCAATTCACAAATGCTTACAATATATCGTGTATGAAAATGAAACTCCTTCGCCTTAAAACATATTCATCCTGTCGTGTACAATGTCAAGAATATGCACACGCATCGTCGACAAGAATAAATTTAAAACAAAGGGATAGGATGGAGGCAGAAAAAACTAAGAAACGAATCGGTCCCTAAAAGTGTGAAAATTTGATGAAGCTGCAACATTTTGTGAGAGAGTCAATTTGAGTCGACCAAGCACTTCACCATCTTTCGCTTGAGAGGCAGCATCAGCAGCTTCCTTGGCCATGCCAATCCGGAGAATACTTCGCTTTAAATGGACATGTGGTGTGCCCAGGGAGTCCGGCTGCTGTAAAAATCGCCAGCCTTGCTTGGCTAGTAGTGCCAAATTGCAGGCATGTAAATCTTGAAATCCCAATCCTCCTTTTATATATTATGGGTCGAATTTGGTTAAGAAACAATTGAGTTACGAAGCTTTGAAAATTGTCCAAACTTCTGGCCAACAGCTCCGGGATACTTAACGGAGTTTTTAACGGAATGACCAAAATAATGGATGGTGGAAAATCTCAGGGACCACTTTTATCGATTTGAAATGTTAGAGACCAAAATGATGAATTATGCAAATCTCATGGACCATTTTGGTTATTTAGCTTTTTCTTTTTCTGTGGGTCAACCCTCACCCAAAATGCCATCAGTTGGTATGTTAAAATCAAATGTGACATGTCAACATTAGCTAGGAACTTTTATGATTGGTTCATGTGATATTCTGATGTATCCCTCCTTTAGTATGTGGTAATTATAAAACAGCATATCTCATCATGGTTCTTCTTACGTACAGCCTGTTAAGGATGTTTAACATCCTAATCCTATCAATTATCTGCAAATCACTGCAGTAAAACTGTGTTTCAAAATCAACGACTTTTCCTAAACTTTGTTATTTTAAATTTCAAAATCTACATTTTCTAAATTTTGTTTCAAATAATCAATTAAGATTTGGTTTTCACATAGGGAATTGTTATTAGTACTACAAAAATCTCATTCTACACTCCTCCCAAGTGTATTTTTTTCTTCTAATTATAGAAAGTTTGGAGTGTCAAATAAGATTTTTGAAGTGCTAATTGTTTTAAATAATTCATGTCGAGAACCACCTTGCATAAGCATTCTTACTGCAACTATCTTGTACTCTTACAAGTATTTTATGTGATTTTAACCCTCTTTGTGTAAGTACTAAAAATCCTATCAATGGTATAGTGAAACCTTTTTCCTTCTTAATTATCTCCTACAACAGGGATTCAATTTCTTGTGTACAAATAATCATATGATGTATCATATGAGGAGAAATAATTTTATCTGAAAGTTCATTAATTCATAAACAAAGTTATTCTTGACTTGATTAAGCCTAAGCTTCTTATAATTACATCCAGTTTTATTGCTATTACTAGTACATTTGACAACTAGGTGAGTTTCATATAATATACAAGTTTCTGCTATTGTCGAGCTATCATCATTTTCAATCAAAACTGTATTAGAGTTTTGATAAAGATCAAATATTGTGCATTATGTTCTACTTTAGTTCCCAACCCATAAAAACATAAAGCAAAGACGCTTTTCGAGTGCAATGGCCTTTTTCGTTTACATACTCTGCATGTGTTGTTACAAAGAGCTAATCTCGCCTAATCATTCTCTATTTTTATCGGGAGAACAAAAACGTTTTTATGCTTTAAGATTAATATGGTTTAGAATATTAGATTGTTGATTGAGGTTACCAACTAAAAAACATCAAAATAAGATAAGGGTCTGTGTCAAACACGTATAAGTTACAAAATGGTAATCATGAATTTGAAGGAATCCAGAGGTGGCTGTATTTGAAAAGGGAGGACAACACACACAGAGCTTTTCTTATGCAATCAAAGATTAGATTTCCCACAACCAAAAAGTATATATGCATGACCTACGCTGTCTTGGTCCACCTGCCTCTTAAAATACCGAGAAATGATCCATACTATTCATTAATTACTTCACTTAGCCATCTGTTCTACATCATGGATAATTTAACAGCTTGGATTAGTCTGAGTTAAAATTTAAAAGGATCAGTTACTAAATAAATCGATCTAGCAATTTACCAATGTGAGACGCAATACCAGGGGTGTCACGACCTCCCTCGCTTGATTGCCTAACATCCTCGTCAAGGTCCGCCCGCCCGCTATCAGATCTTTGATATTTTTTTGTTAAAATTCACACCAAAGCGAGCTCTAATGGAAATAAAGAAAACAATAAAAACAAGTTTACTGATGTTTTATTTATTTTTTATACAAAACAAAAATGAAAAACGGAAGATTTGAACTTGGGACTTCGAGTGCTAGGACAATCCTTTACTGTTAAGTGTGAAATGCTTTGTGTTTTTTCAATGGGTTGGTGCAACATGTTAGACTTGTGAGTTATGTACAGGCACACCATATATTGGTTAGTGGAGAGCAGAAAACCTGACATTCTTTTTGCTCGATGAAATTCCACACTCTTCCATCAACCCAAAAAGTATGTCAAAGTGGAACCCCACAAGGTTGAAACATCAATTCATATTTCAATTATCCTCCACTTTCTTTTCTTACTCTCGTTCATTTAGACCATCAACGTCCATGCAATTCCCATCCTTATTACATTAAAGACATCCCACTTAGCATTCTTTTAAGCCAAAAGAAACAGACTGAATGGTTAATCTCACAAACTTTTAAGCATCTTTCTTGATCAGTTTGTTCTCTTACATTTTGACATATCTGTTGTTTTTGAAGTGGGGTATTTTGCATGTGCCTTATTGTCTGCAGCTGACATCCAAAGCGCTTTCCAAATATATAATATTAAGCTTAGGGTTTGTTTCTTCATTTTATCATAGAGAAAGCAAGATGAAGTTTCTGCAGAAACTGGGTTTCTTCTGCATTCGTTCAAGTCTTCTTCTTTTTCTTGTTTCGCCGCTCGTCAGCTCCTCTCAAGAACACATGAAGGGTGGAGGCAGTCACAAAGACAACATTCATAAGGTAATACTCCACTCCATCTAATTACTTTGTGAAGGAATTCAAATGCTCATAACTCAGAATTTTGGTGCATGACTTTTACAGCAGATGAGTCACAAATTATCGTTTGAAATCAGACTCCACGGGTTTCTTCTTTGGGCTTCGATGGGGTTCTTGATGCCTGTAGGAATACTTGCTATCAGAATGTCACAGAGAGAGGAATGTGGAAGAAGGCTCAGAATTCTTTTCTATGTTCATGGTTTTTCAGAGGCAAGTTCATCTATTTACTGTTACATTATCATTCTGCTCTCTAATAATCTAGATTAACATTGAATTAGACTTTTCAATAGTTTTAGATTTCTTTCACTTAAAAACGATTAAAATTGCTTTGTTCATGAAACCTGACTCACCCGTCTTTCCTATTTTGCTTTGTGTTTTTGGTTAAAAAAAAAGATTAAAATTGCAAGTGGTAGATTTCCTAGGTGAATAGGATATTTCTCTTCAATGAAGAGTTTCGCAGATTCAAACCCTACCTTCCATGTAATAATAATAAATAAATAAATAAATAAATAAATAAATAAATAAAAAGACTACAGTGTTTATGAAAACTAAATTATTTAAGCTACATGCTTATTTATTAGGGTCAGATACCCCGCTCTTACTTATAAAGATGGTGAAAGGAAATTAAAACTAAAAAAATTATTTTTTTTTTGTTTAAAGGAGATTATGATTAATGCTTAGAGAGCAAGACAGGAGTATCTTTATAATTTTCTGGGTAATTAGAAACTCAGAGCTTCTGATTTTTTTTCATTTTAAATTACATGTGTGTGTGGAACATAATTATAGTGTTAGGTGCTGAATTTCCCTGATGTCAAATCCCATCATTCACACAACTAATTATATGTAGTGGCTTTTGATTCGATTCGATTAATTACGACATGACATGACTTTAATTAATTCTTGCTTGATTAGTTTTGTTCAACAGATGCTCTCTATCCTTCTTGCAACAGCAGCAGCAGTGATGTCCTTCAGAAACTTCAACAACTCCTTCAACAATAAACACCAAAGAGTTGGCTTAGGCCTATATGGCCTCATATGGTTGCAAGCCCTAATAGGGTTTATAAGGCCACAAAGGTAAATTATCAAATCCAAATGTCCTCACCAAAACAAAATAAAACGAATGTGCTTTATCTTTGGGGTGCTAGGAAAGTGTGGTTGTTTGAAAGCACTTCCAGTGTTGGAAGGTACCCCCGGGCAACAGCCTATTGAATCCCCTACAGTGAATAGTAACTGCCTTTAATAAACAGTAATTATCTTTTACATCTCCATCCCTAAACTGAATAGCCATAACAATATATAATAAAATATTAGTATTTATTATTTTATAAAATAATAAAAAAATATATTTGTAATTTCGGATATGATTTTTAATCAGTCTCGTTGTACCACGTGTCATTAGATAAGAAATTACAACCCAAAGTATTTGAGAAAATACAAAATTGTGGTGTAAGTTAGAAGATAATGATAAGATATTTATAGAAAAATTAAATCTTTTTTTTTAATTTTTAGATTTTTTTATTAATTTTTTTTTTACATTTTTTATTAATTTTATAACGTGGCTGACGTCATCATGAAGTCAGCCTTGCATCAGCGCGCCTTAGGTGCCCGGGCCGTGGATTCCTGCCTCCCCTCTCCCACGGGCCCGCCCCTAGCCCAATTGCCCGCATGGGCTGGAGCAAGGAAGGTTGGCGATTTGAGTTTTTGAGCAGCCGGTCCCCCTGGCAATGCACAACGTTGAACTTGCTTTGATAGAGCAAAAATACGCAAATGTGGGTTAGGCTAGTTGAACAGTCGGCCTGTTCCATTTACCAAAGCTTGACCCCCCACTTCATAGTTTAAAGTAGTTGAATATCGCCTTATCAAAACAACAAATCTAAAAGTACAGAAACTCCGCAACGAGTCTTCAGTAAGTGTGTGAGAGGAAACAAAAGGCGAAAAATAATTTAACTTACGAGTTAATTACAGTTTTTCTTTATTCCTATACAGGGGATCCAAGGGAAGAAGCGTATGGTTTTCTGTGCATTGGATTCTTGGAACTGCAGTGTCACTGCTTGGGATCCTCAACATATACACAGGACTACAAGCCTACCATGAGAGGACCTCAAAAGGCATAAAGCTTTGGACCATAATTTTCACTGCTCAAGTCTCTTTCATGACCTTCTTCTACCTATTCCAAGACAAATGGTGGTACATCCAAAAGCAAGGAGTGCTTCTGGGCCATGAACCAGTAAGGCCCACTGCAGATCAAGTCCTTTTGCCAATAGAAAAGCAAAAGCGAGCAGTCACTGATTCTTGCTGAGAAGTGTTCCCTCCTATTCTTAATATGTCTTCAACTTTTTCACAGAAAATGATTTCCACATTCCCTTTCTCTCCCCTATTCTTCTCCCGTTGGATTGAATAGATCGAAAGGAGAATCAAGGGACAAGCAAAGGGAGGAGTGTAGAAGGAGAAAATGGGATTTGCGGGAATCATTTTCCCTTCGTCTCTAGGAATAGTTGGTGTTTATAGCAGGTGAAACACTGGGTGTTGGGATGAGGAATTCTTCCAATAAGATGAACTAATGGTGTTTTTGCTAGTATATTTTGAAATTATTTGGTAACAGACACCATTAACTGAAGTTTGTAAGTAGGATTCTGTATAAGATTTGGAGATTCTGTGATTATAAACAGATTGTAGATTTTTACCAAGTCATTAAGGGAATGCGATTCCAAGAAGTCGGTGTATGTACCCCCCTTTAAACAAAAAATGAAGCATTTGAAGCACTGCATCTCCAAATTTTATAGTTAACTGAATTTCTCTATACTAGTTCAGTAGTATATATGTCATGGGAAAAGCTGTACATAACCTGTCAATATGGCGATTCCTAATATTACAAGAGGTGGAACAAGCACAAATGCTCCAATGGTGGCAAAGAAAACTGAATCATTCCTCTTCGATACTTAAGTAAGCCTGTCGTTTGATATTTCGCTTCTGAGAGACGGTTAGAGCCTTGGCACTCACCTTTTTAAAGTTTTTACCGAGTGGAATGACGAAATCCCCGTCTCTGTCCCCAACCAACTGCGCTAGCTGCTGACGGATTGTAAGTTTTCGGGAGTTGCCATCACTAACATAACCTGGCAATCAAATATGTAACTTATTAGCATTCTCATTCTTCAAATTTCTGAGCAACACATGATACGTTTTTGTGTCTGTTTCGGTATATGGACAGAATTGCATACTGGCGTTAACTGATGAGCTAGAAGAGGTAAGTTGCTCCAAAAGATCCAGCTGTGTGCGAGCAGATGACGATGATCCTATAAAGAAGAAGGCATATCAAAAGTGTTTCAAGCATTTTAGGGTTACAAAGTGAAGTCAATGTACTCTAAATTTCAGGTAATCAATGCCAAAAGAAAATCAACTGCTTTTCAAAGGGAACGAAATAAAAGATGCTGGCAACCAGAAGTTGAATACCAGATTACATAGCTATGAAATTCTCTCCATTATTATCAATTACATTAAAAGGGAGATCGAGGGTCATAATTAAACAGAAGAGTGCAAAAGGTCAAAAGGGTGTGCAGAAATCACTTCCCGTAAAAAAAAAACATGATATAAGAAGCCGCAAATAGAGTGTTAGTGGCATGTTAAATTCCTTACTCTTAGGTGCTAGTTGAATCAAATTGTTATATAGCTGACAGTGTAAAACCTGTGATTAGATTGTTTATGTAGCAGAAAGTGAAAAGCTGTGATTAGATTGTTTAGAAGTGCTTATAGAGGAAGCCACTAACAACATCCTCCAGTGTTCTTGATACGCTCAAGGGCTGACTAAATTGATCAAACAGAGGACTTGTTACTTCAAACAAAGTGACTTATCCAGTAAAGTTTAGTGTTTTAAATAATGAAGAAGCATACTTTTCGAACCCAGATCACATAAGAACTAAATCGATAATACGCTAACAAAAAGCATACCGGAGAAAGAAGCGGGAGGGTCTTCCTCTTTAACCCAACTCTCAGTTCCGTCTGACGAATGAGCTGCATATGTTCTAAAAGGATACAACTTGAGGTGGGGTTTGTGCTTTGGGTTTAGAAATGGAGGAGGAGGACTAAAAGAAGAAGAAAATGAAGAAGCAGCAGTTAAATTCAGGGCCATAATTCTATGAGATTTGGTTGTGTGAGTTTACAAGGTTCTTCATTGGCCATGGAGGCCTTTGAGGCTAATACTTCAGTTGCGCCTCCTGTCGCATTACACCCACACCTCAATTTATTATTTATATGGACTAAAATAAATGCGGGAAATTGCTCCTCCACATATTGACACATAAACCACTTGAACGTGTCTTTTGTCCATGTGGAAAATTAAACAAATATTTGTGAAGCAAAATAACTATTATTTCTCTACCGATGACATTTCTCTTTACTTGTGATTGAGAGGTTTTAGGTTTGAATCTCGTAGATGACGAATTCGATACTAAATTAGGTAGCACCATTGTGTAGCTTAACCAAACTTGTCCCTCCTCTTGGTGTAAAATATATCTTTGTACTTAAAAAAAAACTATTATTTCTCACCCACATTTAGTAGCCTAATTGAATCAAACTAATCTATCTAGTGATTAGGATCAGTCTTAATCTATCTAGTGATTAATTTTTGGTTCGGTTTGGTAAGTCGGTTTTCATTTTCTTCAAATCGAGAACCAAATTGGAAGGTTGGTTTGATCTGAGTTTTGACTTATTTAGTCAACTCATTATTTCTTTTTGGAGCTTTTAGATCTATGTCCAAAAACATAGATGGTTTTTAGGAGTGAGTCTAGTTATCTAATTACATGTTTTTATTTCTTTTATACTCATTTTATATTTTTTTAGATATTAAAAATCAATTAAAATCTTCTAATATTATGCATTTTTCAACTCCAAAAAATCTAAGTAATATCTTACAACAACAAAAACTAATATACTAACATAAATTATCTACAAAACATTCTACCTTAACTCAAGTAACAAATATATGAATATATATTATACATGTAAGCGAGATATGAAACCTAACTAAAAGGTAGGAAAAAACATAATATACCTACAAGCAAGACACATTAATTTGTGGCACGTTGATTATAAAAAAGAATATGTCATATAGATACATAAAAATAATTAACCTGTGATATAGGTTGATTATAAAAATTAAAAATAAAATCTATAAATGTGGTTTAAAGCAGGAGGAAGAACAAGAAATAACAAAAAATAAAAATAAAAATAAATAATCAAAGAGATAATTATGAAGAAATTTGATTTTTATAATAAATCTGATCATAGAATAGATAATTATTGATAATAAAATAATTAAATTTAAGGAATTGGACTTATTTTAATAAATTGGACTATTCTTACTATTGGCTGAAAAAATTGGACTTATATCAAGTTTTTCCTTTCTTATTTCGGTTTTCTCTCTCTAGTTCGATCTGATTTTTCGATTATTTATTTTATAACGTGGTGCTAATCTATACATAACAAGTCACAATGAATTATAACTAAGTATCAAACTCAATACAAATGATACATTTCACTCGCATCTGTATGTATAGTGGAGCCAACATATAGGGTCACTTGTTCTTGACCCCAACAACTTCGAAAACCGCATGTATATTTGTTTGTGTATTATATTTGACATCTATAAACAATTAAGGCAAATTAAATTATAACCTCCTCCTCCTACTTCTTCTATTTTCTTCTAGGCTAAATTGAATTACCGGTCCCCGTGTAGATAGAGTAATCAGAAGATAGCCCCCGTGGTGAAAAAATCTGATTTAAACCCTCGTGGTAAATCCGATTTTTTTCACCACGAGGGCTAACTTCCAATTACTCTATTGTGCGATTATGTGCTTGATGAAATACTTTAGTTGAAAAGCATGACAGTTTTCAACATTACTCCATATCTAGTATCCATCCTAGACAAACCTCTACAAATAATAATAGTTGTCAACATATGTTGGCATAAACTTTTGACATATATTGACAGGAATTGACAAGTGCATACAAGGTGCTCGACGAAATGGTCCAATGAATTTTTTTTTACTAATATTATGACCCTATTATTTGAAAATCCTAACTACGCCACTTTGTGTATGAATCAGAATCTAGAACATTCTCCAACCTAATGGAGATGGGTTGGTTTGATTTGGCTGTTTTTATTGCAACATATGTTGTTGGCTTGGCTCCCAAATATTTTTAACTTCTAGATTAAGTAAGCCACTATGGACCCCACAATCTAACAAAGGATCACCATTGAGGAAGGATCCTGAGGATATCCTAAATTCACAATATTCAATTTGATTTTCTTTAACCGGGGACCAACATAATCCAGCGTGCAGTCAAACACTAAAACTCCAGGAAGGACAGTCAAATGACCAAAACATCCTTCGGCCTTATTGCAATCTAAAAAATGCATTTTATGCTTTTGATTTTAAATCAAGCCAATTATTTTATATTCTTTCTATAAAATTTAAAAAAAATAAACATTATTTGCATGATATATGTTGCATTTTTGAATTTTTCACTATACGAGAATTGAACATTTATGTTTTTAAATAAGGATATTTTTTTTCTTGAAATCGAGCAGGGGTGATATGGTCATTTGATATTGAACCCACGGAGATAGCCAGTAATATGACCGTTGGAGGCCTACAAAATCCAGGCGTTTCGAATCATTAAATTAAAATTAAAAGGGAAGCCGATAATCCTATTTCCCATTAACTTCTTCGAATCAGATTCCAACTCAAAGACTTCACCTTCCTTTTTCCGTACCCCCACTCCATCTCTCTCTCTCTCTTTCTCTTTCTCTTTCTCTCCCCTCATCATGCAAAGAAACCCAGAACAAAGAGAGGAAGAAGAAGCAGCAGAAAGAGGCGGTGCTGTTTCTGGTGGCGGTGCATTAATGACTGAGCACGGCGGCGGAGAGGAGATATCTAAGGAAGTTGTGGCAGCAGAGGCTGCTCATCCATACGCTTTCCATGTATCCGGACCTCGCAATTTGACCTCTCCGAATTGGAGAGACCTTCTAAACTCGAGTTGGTAAGTACTCATTTCAGATTTTCATAAATTCTGGAACTTTACAGATTTGAAATATGTTGGATTGTTGCTAAATTGTTTTAGCAGAATGGGTTTCAGTTTTGGATTTTTACAAAATTTGGAAATTTAGAAACTTGCCCATGAAATTTTGGAGATGAATGATTAATTTTGAATTTTATTTATTTTTGTGGAACATAAAAGGAAACTCCCTTTGGAACAGAGAAGATAACAGAGTTTTTGCCTGTCTATGTTTTGTGCTTTTGTTAATTGGTTGATTAATTAGGGAAATGCATTGTTGGATCTCAAATCAGATAATTTCAACCAGGATTGGCGATAAATTTGGTACATAATTGTAGATTTGACCCATCACCACCTGATTCACCCAATGTGCATTTGTGATTGTATCAAATTTTGCTTCATTTTAGTGGGACTTTCTTATATTTTGGGATCCTATATTTATGGGGTTTTGGGAGTTTTATCTCATTTGATTCTACTAATCCATGTTTACATTGATAAATTATGGACTTTCCGGTTCGATTGTGTTTGTTGGTTGCTTTGGCAACATATATCAAGAGCATAAATTACATGATTACAAATAAAGATAGAATGTTTCTGACATTGTTGATTCCGTGATCTGAATTTAAAATCGCTTAATCAAATGCTATCTTTGGTTCAAATGTAGGCGCAATTGGTTCGGGGTTGTACTTATACTAAACCTTTGAGATTAGATCATGTTGAATATATTTCTATTTTAGCTAGTATATATGTTGCCTCACTAGAGGTCGCACTTGGTGCGATGGCAAGTGCCTTCGCCCATGAGCGGTAGGTCTCGGGTTCGATACTTGGGAGCAGCCTCTCCATAAATGGGGGTAAGGCTAGCCGACATTCACCTCTCCCAGACCCT